GCTGTTCCGCGTGGGGCTGCACAGCGGCGAGGTGCGGACGGCGCGGGCCGTGTCGGAGAGGGACGCGGCGAAGCAGCGGCTGGTGGCCGTGGTGAAGGACCACGGGCAGCCGGCGCTGTCGGCCACGGCCACGCTGCACGTGGTGCTGGCCGAGAGCTTGCAGGAGGCGCTGCCGGAGCTGAGCGATAGAGACGCTGTGTCCGAGCTGACGTCTGATCTAAACCTCATTCTTGTAGTGGCGCTCGCTGTCGTGTCCTTGTTATTCGTTTTGACAGTAATTTTGATACTGTTCTTTAAATGCCGACGGTCGAGGACTCCTCCCATTTTTATAACTTCTGATAAGGAACTGTATTCCAGCCTGGGCTCAAAACCACCATACAACTACTGCAGCAGCACGCTGCCCTTGCCCTATTCCTACGAGGTGTGTTTAGCTTCCGAGTCGGGCCAGAAGGACTTCACATTTCTGAGACCAGGGACGGCAGCGTTGTCTGACCGTCTCCTGACCAGGGAACCCGGCTCAGACACTCACTCCGGGAAGGATCCTCCTAGCCCCCGGAGCTTGGCAGAGGTGAGCTTCTGTCCCGGGGTTCCTCTCTGCGTGTTTGTGTGAATCTTCTTCTTCCCCTGTTCTGCCGTAGGGGATCGGAGGGCTACGGGCAGAGCTCAACGTCACTTCCCGGCAAACTGCTCAATAGCTCGGAGGCGTGGGTGGGTGTGAGTGTGCGCGTGATGTTGACTCTTTTGACCTGCCCAGTGTCATCCACGAATTGTCATTTGTGCCCCGAGGAGCAACGCTATGTTTGTACTGGTGTCTGTCTGTCCTACTCCACATGCGAGTTTCATCGAGCCGGGGTGATGGGGGCGGAGCGGGGGCAAAAGTGTCGTGGGGTCCTAAGCTGAGACAATCCTTTCGTCTTGGTCTAGTGAGTGCTTCATTTATTGTCTGCCAGATTTGAGCGCTTTCCTGTGATAACGATGTGTGAGCTATCCCGGCCTCTTCACTCAGTGAGGGCAGCAACTCCGTAGTTCTTTGTTTTCCCTTCCAGCTCGGTTCTTTTCATACTCTGAAGCCCTCAAAAGGAAAACGTTGTGTACACCCGTGACTTAACATTCATCTTCCATCTGGGGAGCCGGGGCTGTAGCTCCAAGCCCGGAGCCGAGCAGAAAATGCTCTGGGTCCACTGCTGCCACCAGCTTCTCTGGAGCCCCAGCGCAGCCGGGAATAACGCCAGAGCAGCTCTGGCTGGGATTTGGCTTGAACCCATCCCCGAAGGAATTCTTGGTGCAGGGGAAAGGCACCTGTCCCCTTAGCTGTCACACGTTTCCACTCTTCTCCCTCCAAATGGTGCTTTCAGGAGCTCTGACCCGTTGCTTTCAATATTCGGGCTTCCCATCAAAGTAAGGGAGACATAATGTGTCCAGATCAGTCGAAATACGGGAGATGGAAATGTTCAGTCTTCCATACTTTTCCTGAGATCTCTTTGCTGTACTCAGCTCTCCACTGCTTGGCTGTCTTACTGCTGCTGGGATTAATAGGTCGTGTGTGCACTCATGTGAAAAGGAACTCCTTAAGAATTGCGGTACGCACGTTAAAGAAATTCCTCAGTAAGCAGAGTTTAGGAAAGGCACGAAATGGGCAGTGGTTGGAAAAAAGATTCAGAGCTTATTTCAGAGAAAATAAGTGGCTGAAGACTATTTCAAGATTTGTCTTGAAGAGAGCTGTGGATTTTCTTCTTTTTAGATTATATGTAAGAAAGTAATTGGGATTTGATTGCATAAGGGCCTATGAGATAAGAAGTCTGCTCTCAGCGCTGTGAGCCTGCATACAACAGTTTGTTACAGAAGTGCTCCAAAACGCATAGAGGCATAACGGATACTTACATGCACGATGCAGCTGTGGTGGGTAAAGCATATCGGTTTCCTTCTCAGTATTTAAATTGCTCCAGAATTAAATTCTATTAAAATCCAACGTTAGACGACTAACCTTGGATTTTATCGGTGTGAAGCCTATGCTTTTATCACATTCTGTGGACTGGTGATAAGAACGATATGTAGCGCTGATAAGGTTTATCTTTCGGCAACGATTATTCGCAAAAATACTGCGTCTCTGGGTGGATCCCCTGTGCTCACGGCAGTTAACAGGACTGTGCGGGGTGAGAACATGTAGCCAGAGTCGAGGTCCCTGTCACTCTGGGGGGGGGTGTCGTGTCTCCCACCTTGGCGCGGCTGATTTGCAGCCCTTCCACAACGCGCTCAGCCACGACAAGCAGCGGGATATCAGATAACCAGCCGCAACGTTTCCGAGCCATTTCTGAAGGGCGTAGAGAGCCTTGTCGTTTCTCTCGATAAGGGAATGAACGCGTGGGCGCTGATTTCCAGTCCAGTTTCTTTCCCAGACATCGCTGTCCCTTCCTTATCAGTCTCGGCTGTGGGAAGACACCTGGACTCTGTGTTTCTCGGCCACAGCTGGGTTTTGATAGGGCTCCTGCCTCTCCCTTATCAAGCTCCCTTGGCCCCTTCCCATTGCACCGTGACAGCTGGGCAGTTGCGCGGGTGACGGACAACGAAAGCCGAAATAGCCATAGTTTTATCCATATTGGTGCTCGAAATATCGGCAAACCGACGTATCAGGAGTTGTTGCTGACAGCAACAACCCCAAAAGGCAGGCAGGCAGCCCGGGAATTGGCTGTTTCTCGCCGAGGCGCTGCCGGTGCCGTGGTCTATGCGGTGCAGCGACCCGCCGGGCTGTTGCTGCACGGGAACGGGAATCGCTCCCGTCCCCGGTGAACCAGCACGTCGTAGACCGTGATTTCTCTGCGTCTGGCTGGTGGAAACAGATACCAAGGAGTAAGCAGGGAGGTGGCGAGAGCAGGAGGGCGTATTAAACCCAGCTTTCTACGATTTGTCGGGGAAGATGCCTGCTGGGACAGTGGTGGCGGTGGGGAGCAGGAGGGGTGATGCTCCTGGGAACGCTGTGGCAGGAGCTGCCCCGCGGGGTGACTGTGTGCTGCAGCTGGAGGAGCCGCTCGTAACTCGGCAGCACGAAATCTGCGTCGTTTTGCCGGCGACACTGCTTTGGTGGCACACAGAGGCGCGGCGTCGCGACGCCGTGGGATGTCAGGAAGGGGCTGACCAAGCACTTGGGTGGGAGGACCGGCATCCCGAAGGTCCCGAAAGACACTTGGAGCTGGCGCGTCGTGCCGGCGCCCTGCGTGCCCCGGCCGACATTCCCCACCCCTCCTCCTGACCGCTCCACCTCCCCTTCTTGCTCCCGCTGCCTCTTTCCAACGAGGTTTTCCCGGGGGGACACCACTCCCCCCAGCCCCCGTTTCCATATTCCCCCTTTTGGCGTCATCCTCTCCGCCAATTCTTAGACCTTCCTGCCCGCACACGCAGTCCCCGTCCCCGATCTACGCTGTCTCTGCCAGCGCTCTCTCAGCCCGGCTGTCCTTATGAGCTGGGTTTCTCCCTTCAGGGTCAACCGGCCCGAGCCCCGCTGCCTTCGGGCAGGGGCCGCCGCGCTCCCTCCCTGCGGTGGTCGGCGGGCGGCTGCCCCGCGGCGGGGCTCCGGCAGCCCTGCGCTCCGTGCAGTTATTGGCCGGGACTCTGTGTGCCGCTGTCGGCCAATGATGGAGCGGGGGGGAATCTGGCGGCCCGGCCCCGCTCGGAGCCGGGATGAGGCGCAGACGGTCTCAGAGAGAGCCTGGGAGTGAGTCACCGCGGAGCCCGCAAAGCAATGCCCTTCTCCCCGCCGGACGCCGCTTCCCGGGGCGCGCGGGGCAGCGGCATGACGGGGCGAGCTGAGGATTTCTAGCCGGGGCGGGGGGGGGCGAAGCGGAGAGCGCGGCCGTCCTGTGCGATGAACGGCGTTGCTGTGAGGAGCCGCGGGGTGACGACGGGGCAGGTACTGAGCCTCTTGGTTTTGTTCGGCGTTTCCGACTGGGTTTCCGCCGCGATTCGCTATGCGATTCCCGAGGAGGCGCGGAGAGGCTCCGCGGTGGGGAACGTGGTAGCCGACCTGGCGCTGGACCTCGGGCGGCTGCCGGAGCGCCGGCTGCGGGTTGTGTCTGGCGGAAACAAGAAGTACTTTGGGGTGGATCTGACGAGCGGCGCGCTGCTGGTGAGCGAACGGATAGACCGGGAGGAGCTCTGCGGCGCGCTCTCTCCCTGCTCCCTCAGCTTTGAGATCGTGGTGGAAAACCCGCTGGAGCTGTACAGCGGCGCCGTGGAGATCCAGGACATCAATGACAACGACCCGGTTTTTCCCAGCAGCCAGGCGAGGCTGGAAATCAGCGAGTCGGTGGCGGCCGGAGCGCGCTTCCCGCTAGAGAGCGCGCAAGACCCCGATGTGGGGATTAACTCTTTGCAGACCTACCAGCTCAGCGCCAACCCGCACTTTGCACTCGACGTGCAGACGAGGGTGGATGGCAGCAAGTACGCGGAGCTGGTGCTGGAGAAGGAGCTGGACAGGGAGGAGCAACGGGAGCTGCATTTGGTCTTGACTGCACTGGATGGAGGCAGCCCGCCACGGTCGGCCCACGTGCAGATCCTCATTGATGTTGTCGACGCCAATGATAACGCCCCGGTCTTCAACCAGTCCACGTACAAGGCAAGTGTGAGGGAGAACACACCCAGCGGTACCCTGGTCGCCAGGATCAGTGCATACGATCTGGATGATGGGCCCAATGGAGACATTGTCTATTCCTTCAGCAGCCACACACCCGCCAAGGTACGAGAACTCTTCACTCTGGACTCTGCCATGGGGGAATTGAGGGTCAAGGGACAGCTGGACTATGAGGAAACGAAGCTGTACGAGATTTACTTACAGGCTAAAGACAAGGGTGCTGCTCCTGGTGTGGCTCATTGCAAAGTGCTGGTGGAAGTCGTAGATGTGAACGACAATGCTCCGGAGGTGACAGTGACTTCTGTGTACAGCCCTGTGCCTGAAGATGCAGCCCCAGGGACGGTTGTAGCTCTGCTGAGTGTAACAGACTTGGACTCCCTTGACAACGGTCTGGTAAACTGCTTCATTTCCCCTGGGATCCCGTTCATGCTCAGCTCCTCCCTCAAAAATTACTACACATTGAAAACAAAAGCAGCTCTGGACCGGGAAAAGGCATCGGAGTATAACATCACTATCACAGCCAGGGACTCAGGCTCACCACCCTTGTCTGCGGTAAAACAGATCCAGGTGCAGGTGTCAGATGTCAATGACAATGCGCCCAAGTCTTCCCAGGACTCCTATGATGTGTATGTGCTGGAGAACAACATGCCTGGCATCCCCATCCTTAATGTGAGCGCCACAGACCCGGACCTTGGGCGCAATGCCCATCTCTCCTATACCCTCTTGCAGAGTGACCCCACTGTAGGCCACCTCTTCTCCATCAACAGGGAGAATGGTACCCTCTACCTGCTCACCTCCCTGGACCACGAGGACCAGGTGGAGTTCAGCATGATGGTGCAGGTCCAGGATGGCGGCTTGCCGCCTCTGGCCACTAATGTCTCAGTCAGTGTGTTTGTCACTGACCTCAATGACAATGCCCCAACCGTGTTGTACCCTCACCCCAACACCACCGCCACCTATACCGATGTGGTGGCACCAGGCACTCCTGCTGGGCACATGGTCACCAAGGTGGTGGCGGTGGATGCGGATGCAGGGTACAATGCCTGGATCTCCTATACCCTGTTGCAGGCCACTGACCCCAGCCTCTTCTCAGTTGGGTTGCACAGCGGAGAGATCTTCACAGACCGCCAGCTCCAGGAGGATGACGCTCCCCAGCACATACTAGTCATCCTGCTGAAAGACCATGGGGAGCCTGTGCTGTCAGCCAGTGCCACTGTCTCCATCTCTGTGGCTGAGATGGTCAAGGAGGTTCTCACTGACCTCACTGATGTGGCACCCACCAATGATCCCAGGAGGCATGTGACTTTCTATCTCATCCTGGCTGTGATTTTGGTGTCAGCAGCCTTCTTCATCACCATGTTGTCAGTGGGCATCTTCAAGTGCTACAAGTGGAGGCAGTCGAAGGAGCTGTTCAACAGCTCCAGGAGCACCCTGTACAGGACACCAGGGCCTTTCCACCACATTGATGCTGTGCGTGGTGGCTTCACGCCACCCAACTTCTACCACCAAGTCTATCTCACCACAGACTCTCGCCAGAGTGATCTCCTGTGTAAAAAGCCCTTCACTTCCAGCCCCCTGGGGAGCCGCCAGAGCACCATGAGGAATGGTGAGCCAGGGCTGTACCATCAGATCGTGGGCACTGCCAGCCGGCTCCCCACGCCTGCTGAGGTAATGTAGCTCCTTACTTGGCATGTCCTGGTGCCGGGCAGAGACATGGTTCATTTGTGCCATACATATATGGTAGCAGATTGGTGTTGGGGGGAATATCCAGTCGTGCCATGCCTCTAAAGAGTGGTTAGCTATAGCTGAACAGTTCAGGTCTTCTCTGGAGTCAAATGAGACATCCTGAATGTCGACATTTGCACCATAGTGAGCAGGATCAAGTGAGTCAGCTTGCTCAGGTTAACAAACATATGTCTTTCCGATGCGGTTTTGGGTATGCCTTGTGTGAGTAACTCATAGAGCCTGAGGTCAGCTTGCAGCCACTTGCAAATCCTTGGCAGAAAGTTTGCTGCTAATGGTATTTCCTTCCCTTTGCAAAATGAGAGCCGAGGGGAGCACTTGCGGGGTCAGGAGGGGAACATAGTCTCTCTGTGTCATGCCCTGGTGTGGGCTGGGGAGGTGGTGGTGCAAATGGGGCTGGGAGCCACCAGCGGCGGATCGGGGCGTCGCTTCCCATGGTGTAGTATGCAAAGCTGAAGGACAATGCTGGTTCCTCCATTTGACAGACCATGGCCACAGAGCAGTCCCTGCCGTCCGTGTCTCACTTCATGTTTGATTCCTGATGGTTCCGGCTTTGTTTCCATGGAAGTTTTGTGATGATGTTAACTTCAGGGTGGGTGGGTGGGACTGCAGACTACCCCAGTCTCTTGCAGGGCTCCACTCAGCTGGACTGTGGCTCTGAGCAGGATAGTGAGTCTTCCACCCAGCTGTTGTTTTAAAAACCCTATTACAAGCCCTGCATGATTTGTGATGTGCTATCTCTGGGTGATGTCTAATGTCCTGACTGAACAAACTGCAGCCAGAAAGGCGTTTGCGCATGGCAGGCAGCTTCTGTGCTTCTCCCCCAGTGGGAATTGTGCAGCTTAATTTGAGAGCTTTCAATTACAAGAACGCTTCGATCCTCAGAGGTGAGGCCAGGTAGTGGATCCAGCAGAAGGGGGTAGGGGATCTGATGGGTTGCCAAGATGGTCGGTGCCGGTAACGTGTCCTTTCCTGGGAGGCTGTGAGTAGGAGAGACCAGTTCCTTGGAGCAGAAGGAAGTGAGGTGCAGTGGAAGCTGTGTATGGGTGTGGGGCTGTGTGTGCCGCCTGCTCACTGTAGCCGAATCACAGACGGAGGCAGAAACATCTCAGAATTATTTTATGCTTTTTTTTTTTTTTTCTTTTTTCCCTCTTGCGTCACTGCTCAGACTCAGCACTTCTGATTTGTAGCAGGTGGGACCAGCTGCAGCAGCTGCAGGAGCAAGTGTTCCTCTGCATTGTGCAGAGTGTGCTACAGCTGGGGACAAGGATGTCCCCTGCACCAAAGGGTCATAGCAAGATGCCTCTGGGGGTGGGGGCAGTAATGATTTGAGAGTGGGGATGGAAGGAGGTGATAATGGGCAGGTGGTAAGCCCGAGCACTAGCCATGGCTCCCCCTTACTCCCCAGTACTACACTGGCAGTGAGAAACCAGCTGGGCTGGCACTGGGCCCTGGATTTTCAGTCTCTGTAGTGACAGAAGATCCGGCCCAATGCCACAGACCGTGTCAAGCCTGCAAAGGCTTTACACCTCTTTGCTCTGCAGGGTAACAGCCAGACCCCAAAATTGATGCAGTGGGGATGGTGCTGACCCCATCTGTGGCAGGTAGCGTGTCCTCCCATGAGGGATTTTACCCTGCAGCAGCTCCCCAGGTAATCTAGGTCAGAGCCTTTCCACAGGGTGAGCTCTGGCCCTCTGGAATGGGGACATCTCCTTCTCCATCCTAGACACCCCATACCCTTCCTGCCTTGCCACCATCCCCATCCCAGGCTTTGGCAGACCCAAGCAACAGCAGGACCCCCGTGTGAAGCCTGTCCCTTGCTCCAGCCCCTTGGTGACTGAGCCACCTCGGGAAACAGAGCAGATTCTCCCAGACCATGTGGGCTTCACAGGGGGCTTCTGCTGAGGCACCGCAGCAGCACAAAACCCATTTCCAGGGGCATAGCACCCTGTGTTGTGGCAATGTCTGTCACTCAGCTGTACTGTCCAGGGCCCTGCCTGGGATGGGGACAGGGCACATCCCAGAGTCAAGGTTACTGCGACAGCTTCCTGCTGGTAGCACCGTGGGAAGCCCTCGGGGAATGAGTACGTCCAAAGAGGTATGGGTCTCTGGAAGCTGGGGAATCCACTTCTCCAGCGTTTCGCTGCGTTAGCCCTTTAAGAATGCCTTTTCCCCTCTCCCGGAGCAGGCAGTAGGTGGGACCCGGGCGGTGTTCTGCACCAATCGCGAGGTTCCTTGCTCCGTCTCTCCCTGACTGGCAGCAGAGTGGTCCCGTCCCGTGGCTCTTGGAACGGGCAGGGAGGGGCTGCAGAGGGGAGGGAGACCCCTCGACGGCAGCACCTCCACTGTCTCTGTCCTCGCCCAGAAGGATGGTGTCCCTGTCACCGTCGTCCGTGCTGGGCATGGGTGCCCCCAGCCTCTCTCGCCTATTCCCCCAGGTCCCCTGTGCCCAGGTGGTGGAGACAGGGAGGGTCCCAGGCAGGAGCTGGCTCCCCTGCCTGCCACACCACTATGGAACCCAGCCCCCCAGGGTCTGCGTGCACCCAAGGGAGGTCAGGGTGGCCTTAAGTGCACTGAAGACAGGATTCCAAGGCATGCCTGCACAAGCCTTCTGCAGGGATGTGAATTGAGCTACACTCTGCAGCTTGCCACCATCCTTTGGGACAGGGAGAGGGGGAAACTACTGCTCCCCTCCCCCCTGGGGAGGCTGAGACCCCTGCTTTTGCCCTCTGGGAGATTGCTTAGCTGCAAAGCTGCGTCTGCAGCAGAATTTCAGTATGTGTGTCTGCCAGGTGGGAGGCTCGGGCCTTCTTCCCAGTGTGACATCCTGACCTGAGGTTGCAATCTGGTGGTGGTCTAGTGGGCTTGCTGGCTGGCTCTGTGCATTTGCAGTGAGTCAGGTGCTGTGAAGGTTGACCCCTTCCTTTTTGCAGGGTGAGGAAGGGGCATCCAGCCAGGTGTGTGTGGGGAGCAATTGTGTTCCAGCTTTGAATGGCGCACCCATTTCTGCCTTCCCACCGTCTGCCTCCAACACCCATGGGGGGCTGGCAGGGATGGGCATCCCTGTCTCAGTGCAAGCTCTCCTGGCTGACGGTAGTACTGGTGGCAGTGATGCCTCACTTAGAGAGGCAATCCTAGGGTCCGGGCAGCAGCCAAAGCATTAGCTGGGGAGGAGAAAAGGGGTGGGAGAAGAGCCCCTGGCACCTCAGGGCTCTAACAAGCACCTTTTCATCAGGCATGAAAAGTCCTTTGGCCCAAGCTCATGACAGCTGCCCTTTGTCTGTGGGCACGATGTGAAGCCACCATTGTGGAAGGGGGAGCGCACAGGGAGGGCTTGTACCTAGCTTCCAGGCTGCCAGGACGTGCAGTTTCCCTGTGAACGGGAAACGAGCTGTGGGAGCAAGTGACTCAGGCTGGCAGAGGGGAGGCCGGGGGTGGCAGCCCCGCTGATGCCGGCTCGGGCCCCCACTTCCTGCACCTCCGGGGAGCCACCGCTGGCCGAGAGGGAACGGAGCTCCTGGCCAATTGGGTGCTGATCTGAAGCCGGGGGGGAGGGGGGGGAATCTACTTCTCCCCCCCCTTCTTCCACCTCCGCGCTGGGGCTGTGATTCAGTTCCCCTCCCCCAGCCCACCCCCTCTGCTCAGAGGCTGACAGCCGGAGCCGCAGCCTGCTGGAGCCCCGGAGCTGTTTTCCAAGCCGTGGAAGAGAGACCCAGCGATTTTTTCACAGTTCCTCAGCGCCTGCTGCGTCCCGGGCCGGACGCGCACAGACATGGAGAGCGTCAGCCTCCAGCGACCCGCCTGGAAATGGCAAGTACTGAGTTTGTTTTTGCTCTGCGGCTGGGGCTGGGTCTCCGGGCAGATCCGCTACTCGGTGGTTGAGGAGTCAGAGGTGGGAACTGTGGTGGGGAACGTGGCCCGGGACCTTGGCTTGAAGGTGGAGGAGCTGCCAGGTCGCAGGCTGCGCCTGGGTTCAGAGGAGAGCCTGCGCCACTTTGCCATGCGCCTGGACAACGGCGCGCTAGTGGTGAGCCAGCAGCTGGACCGGGAGCGTCTGTGCGGAGCGGCTGCCAGCTGTGTGCTGTCGGTGCAGGTGGTGACAGAGAACCCCCTGCAGCTCTTCCGCTTGGAAGTGGAGATCCTGGATGTGAATGACAACTCCCCGAGCTTCCCCACCTCTCGCCGCACCCTGCGTGTCGCCGAGTCTGCCACAGTGGCTGCGCGCTTCCCCCTGGAGAGCGCACAGGACCCCGATGTGGGCACCAATGCTGTGGGCTCCTACCGGCTGAGCCCCAACTCCCACTTCTCCCTGGACGTCAAGCAGCAGCAGGATGGCAAACTCTTCCCGGAACTGGTGCTGGAGCGTGCCCTGGACCGGGAAGAGCAGCCAGAACTGCAGCTGGTGCTGACGGCTGTGGATGGCGGAAGCCCAGCCCGCTCAGGCACGGTGCAGATAACAGTGCTGGTCCAGGATGTCAATGACAATGCGCCCACCTTTGACCGCACTATCTACAAGGTGCAAGTCCCGGAAAACATGCCCATGGGAGCCCTGCTCCTCCAGCTCAATGCATCTGACCCTGATGAGGGCCCCAATGGGGAGACACAGTACTCCTTTGGGGTTCACACCTCTGACTCGGTCCGGAGGCTCTTTGCCCTGGATCCCCGCAGTGGTGAGGTCCGGGTGAGTGGGGCCCTGGACTTTGAGGAATCACCTTTCTATGAGATCTATGTGCGAGCCCATGATGGAGGGATCCCGGAGATGGAGGGCCACTGTGTACTGCAGGTGGAAGTGGAGGATGTCAATGACAACCCCCCAGAGGTGTTGCTCACCTCCCTGCTGAACCCAGTGCCAGAAGACACCCCACCGGAGACCGTCATGGGGCTCTTCAACATACGGGACCGAGACTCGGGGGCCAATGGGGATGTGAGCTTGGAGATCTCCCCTGATGTGCCTTTTGCCATCAGGTCCCTTCAGAACCACTTCTCCCTGGTCACCCGGGAGAGCCTGGACCGAGAGTCCACCTCACAGTATGTAGTGGAGCTGATTGCCCGGGATGGTGGGTCTCCCGCTCTCACCACGACCCTCCTGCTGCTCCTCAACATATCTGACGTGAATGACAACCCCCCGCGCTTCTTGCAGCCCTCCTATGATGCCTTCCTCCCAGAGAACAACCCACCTGGCTCCCTGCTGTGCACTGTCTCTGCCTCGGACCCCGACGATGGGGATAATTCCCGGCTTGTTTACTCCATAGAGAGTGGCCAAGTGCAGGGTGCCCCCACCTCTTCCTTTGTCCACATCAACCCTGACAATGGCAACCTCTATACTCAGCGCACCTTTGACTTTGAGCAGCTGCAGGTTCTGCCAGTCTCTGTGGCTGTGCGGGACTCGGGGTCCCCCCCGCTCCACGCCAATGTTACTGTCTACATTTTTGTGCTGGACCAGAATGACCACCCCCCCACCATCCTGCACCCTGCCAGTGACAGTGATGTCCCGGCACCCCAGAGGGTCCCACTGTCTGCCCCACCGGGCTACCTGGTCACCAAGGTGACAGCAGTGGATGCAGATGCCGGGCACAACGCTTGGCTTTCATACCGACTGCTGCCGCAGTCCACCGACCCCTCCTTGTTCCACGTGTCGCTGTACAGCGGGGAGGTGCGGACGGCGCGTGCCCTTCAGGACACTGACGTGGCAGCGCAGCAGCTCATTGTCCAGGTGATGGACAACGGCGACCCACCGCTCTCCACCACTGTCACCATCACCGTGGCCCTGGAGGAGGTGACCCTGGAGGACAGCTACAAGCCTCGGGATTTCCTGGCTGGTGCCAAGGAGAAGCCGGACCTGACCCTCTACCTGATCATCGCGCTGGCAGCTGTTAGCACTGTGGCGCTCGCCACCGTCACCCTCCTGGCTGCCCGGTGCCTCCGGCGCAGAGGCCGTGCCGCCGCCTCGCCCTGCTGCTGCTGCTGGCTCAGCGAGTCGCCCTCCCGGGACTTCTTCAAGCACTCCAGCCCCAAGCTCCAGCTCAGCTCCGACGGCACCCTTAAGTACATGGAGGTCACCCTGCGACCCACCGACTCCCAGTCCCAGTGCTACGGCACCTGCTTCTCCCCCGGCTCCGACCGGAGCGACTTCACCTTCCTGCGGCCTTGCCCGCCCCCCGCGACCCTACCGAGGGAAACCGGGGCTTTCCTCTCCGCCACCGGTACGCTGCGGGACCCCGGCCAGGTGAGAGCCTAGGGGCAGGGGAAGGCGGTGCCGGCGCAGGGCTCGCCGGGCGGCCGGACCGCGCCTACCCCCCCCCGCCGCCGCCCTGGCTCCCCG